TTAGTTTTAATATTTGGAGAAAACAAAAAAAGCTGTTTGTTTATTATTATTTAAATTGATCTAAATCCCTAGTATTACAAATGTGCTTTTTGGTTTTGTGGTCAGTTCACAGAGATCATGTTTTCTGGTGCCACGCAAATTGTTGGGTTTGTTGTTTTGAGGATTTAAAGAATCTCAGTGGTGATTACATTTATGGTGCATGAAGCATCATTATATCACATTTAAAAACTCAGCAGCAGAAGACTACAATGTGTGAAATAACAATACTGTGTAAATCCAGTTGCTACGGTATCCCAAAGAGGTAATTCATAGACTAACTGACATGATAGCCCTGTAACTAGTTATTCAAAGCCGACCGTGATGTTTTGCCTAAACCTGACTACGGTGCTTTGTTCCCTAAACCTAACATTAGCTTTGTTGCCTAAACTAACTTTACATAGTTATTTTAAACCTAACCGAGTTTTGTCTAAACCTAATGTAGCGTCCAAACCTTTAGCAGAGTGTAAACCTTAAGTTTACTGAAGTTAAAAGTAGTGCCGATTACCTCGACACACTTTAAAGATCCACAGGTTAATCCACAAGTTGTTCCACAACATAATCCACACAGCACGGTCCATATGACACGGTCGGAAAACTGTGCGGCTCCATTCTGCTCCAGATATTACTAACAACCGTAACTAACTGTCGCAAAGTCTCCTTAAAGTGACGGCAGTCTGTCATTTACGTGTATTTCTTACCACAACAAATGATAACAACATCCAACATTCAAAGTAGAAACAGATCTGATTAAAGTTAAACATGTAAATGCAAATAAATATCTTACAGCAAATTGAATTAGGCTCTTACACCTAATAATGGGCTTTTGTTGCCTAAACTTAACTGTATGCAGTCCTTTTAAGCCCAACAGTGTTTTGTCTAAACCCAACTAAGGGGTTTTGTTGTCTAACCAGGACGTTTGTTTTGTTGCCTGAACTTAACTACGTGAGTTATTTAAAGCCCAACCGAAACTTAACTACGCTGTTTTATGTCCCAAACCTAACTTTCACTTTGTAATGTATTGACCTCTCGATGAAAAGTTGTTCTTAGCGTCAATGCGTGTCCCTGCACACGAAACAAGAGATTGCATTTTGGACTGTTTCACAAACTGCTGTGAGACTGTGTTGGCCTCACACACGTCTGCACAAATCAGTAGTGATAACAGATTTACTCTCAACAATGTTAAATTATGTTTTACTTTATCTTCAGTCATAGAATTATTCATGTTTAATAAACTGTCTCTCACCTTCCTGCTGTGTCTGCACTGACTATTCACACTTCAATATAATAATTATTATTGTTGTTACATAGATTGGACTGATTCTGAAACCAGTGATTTTCTCATTTGCTTTATCTGCAGCTGAAGTTGTGAGTGTTGCTGATGATGGCCCGTCCAGCTCTGTCAGACGAACCAGGTAAACTGAGACTACCGTTACAGTTGACAATATCTATGTCGCTGTTTCTTTTGTCCTCATCTATGCATCACTTAAATTGCTCATTTTTATATTAGAATAATTTTTAAATTATGTTTTTTGGTTTTGAAGGTCAGTTCACCAACTCACCTCTGTAGAGCCAAGACATGCAAATGGTTTCGGTTTGACGTGCTGACGATTTAAGATCTAAGTAGTGATTAAACCTGTGGTGCGTAAAGCGTCGCTAAATCACATTTGAGAACACAAACTCCTCGTGCAATAATCTACAGACCTTGATCGATTTCCTAGCAAAGCAACAGCGTGGGTGGCGCCATCTCCAAATTCTATAAGGTATTGCTTCTATAAGTTTAGACTTTGCACTTTGTTGAGCTAACGTGAGCCAGCAATACCTCTGAGACGACCCACGTTCATCTGGGGAGAAAAAATGTTAATATTGCAAAGACAGAGTAATGTGTTTTTTAATTTAAATTTTTTAATTGAAACAACGATGGGTTATAGTGGGACTTGCTATGCCCCATTTACTTCAACAGGTCTGGGACCAAAGGCTGGCACTGTCAAGTTATGTTGTTAACATGTGCACTTTCCCCACTTGAGAAGGATCGATGAGTCTACCCGAAGGATTTCTAATCGGATTTCACTCAATGACCAAACAACTGTTCTTTTTCCTCCTTTTATTTTGGTAGGTTCAGCATAGTAGTTTGTTCAATCACTAAGCCACTTAGTGTGGCGTCGTGTAGTGTAGGAAAAACACACAGAACACAAAACCCATATTCAATATACAAGCAGGCAAAGCATTCATGGTGGTTTGAGTAATGAAGCACCAGTGCCACATTCTATAATCTAAACATGCCCTGATATATTAACAAGCACAAAGAGCTAATTCTCACTGCTGCCATAACTTAACACCAGGTAATATATTATACTTCATTCCAGCACTATTGGTGATCAAAAGTGAACCAGGATGTACTTATGATACCATCAGCAAACAATTAAAACTCTTAAACTATCACCGTGCTTACACCATCATATGTTTACAACCAGATAGAAAACATTACCGGACAATCGATCACAAACAACGATATCGTACAACAAAGGGTTAAACTATCGGCGTATGTACAGTATATGCTACAGATCCCCGTGACGTAATGCGAATGCTCGTGCTAACCAACTGGTGACGCAGTGATCTTCACGTCAGCTACAAAGTCTCTCAGTTGTTGCAAAGTTCAGCTCTGTTACCGGCTGCCTCTCCGGACTTGTAGACTCGTCAGTGATGCACAGTCATATCGCAGATCTCTATACCATGCGATCTCTTTTGATGCGGTGTTTGTCCGATTCCGGACCGTATTTACTGCGACACGGTGTGTCCCTGCGTGTCTGCTTATCTAGACTTCTAGGCAGATTGGTTGCGCCCTATTTCTTTTCTGAATAGTCAGATTGTCAGTATTAATTACTTTACAAACTGCTTTACTGATTATTTTATTTACAATTAGCTTAAATCTTTTTCAGTTCTTTATATTTATTCTATTTACATAAAAGTAAAACCCTGTTTGACTTGACAGGCACCAATGTTAAATTGGAACGCTGTCACGATGACATAATGACCCTTCTTTCTTTTATATATTCCATGTCTGAACCCAGGACATGTAATTCATAAATTACATATTAGGTTTGTTGGAGGTCGCTCTCGTCGTCGAGATTTCCGGTTGTCTGGTATCACGAGACTAGCAAATGATAATCTCCTAAATAACACTATTCCTGGGTCACTTCACGTGCTAAGCATTGCAGCTCATGTTGGAGCAGTTAAACACATAGTTGACTCCATCCATAACATTTTTAATTTTTATCTGTTTGGTTTGGGAAAGGCTTGAAAAAAGTGCGCACCCTATAGTGACTAATTCCAGCAACTAGCCCCTTGGCTGTGTGTGGGAAAAGACCATGTTTCTTACTCGCTTCAATAAAGAGATTCCAGGCTCTTTCACTTTTGGGTGAGGTTCCCGTTATACCAATTACCTGCCACACTAATCCACACTGCCACCCGTGCTCAACCTGAAGTAGGCTCCCAAAATATACAGATATAATACACGGACATAACTAATTGCTCCTACACACCCTCTAAATATTTTAAATGAGTTTTACAGTGTAACACATGGAGAAACCCAGAGCTGGACAGACCCCTCGCTGGTTGGGTTAGGGGTTCAGCAATTTGTCAGTTTGGCTGAACTTCTAAAATTCAAGACAGCAGCCTGTCAGGCACTGCCCTCCAACACAGTCCTCATGTATTACAAGGGTGCAAGACCCTTATCCTACGCTCTGCATTAGCTAGTTTTAATTTTGCCCTATAAAGCATTTATTATAAATTAACCTTAAAGCATCAGGAATACATCAATTGATGACTTGTTTTGCATTTGATTTACTTAAACATTTTTTTCCAATCTGTGCTGTTATCCTTTCTTTTATAGTCCTGTTACTAAACCCAAGTCTGGAGGAGAGGGTTCCTGATATCACGGCTGAAGAATCAAAAGATATAGATATTTCTGGCATTAGCACTGTTCTCGCAGGGATTGAGAACAACCTGGACCGGTCTCTCTCGTTAAGCTTTGATCAAACCAACTTGAAATGGCAAACCTTTGATGGCTCTCTCCCCAACGGAGCAGTTTCAATCTACAACGAATATGTTGAACGCATCGACTACGTGTCCAAGTACGGGTCCCAGGCTGGCTTCTACAACCCTGACATGGGTCCTCACTGCCGCTACCCCTATGGAGAAAAAGAGTATCTTGGCTCCCCATTTGAGATCCTGGTGAACAAAGACGACTTTGAGTTTCTGGAATGGAAGGATGGCTCCTACGGTTCAGTGCCTCCGAATTCAGTCAAGACCGTCTCCAACAACGACATTTATGTTGGGAAGAACCGGTATGGTCTTGGGAAGGTGGATGTTAAAAATCAGGCCTTCTTCCTTCCCTGGAAGGGTTCTGAGTATTGGTACAAGACCTACCAGGTCCTGACCTTTAACAAAGATATTTACAGTGAGGACATCTCTGATGTCAAGTACAAGACTGATGGGGTTGCAATCATTAAGCATCCTCCAGAGACCATGACCAAGGCTACCCTCGTCAACAAGGACTGCCATGCAGCGACACTGACAGCTACCCTCTCAACAAAAATCCAAGTGGAGCAAAGGTGGGACACCAGCTTTTCCCTCACAGTAGGCATCAAGACTACCATCACTGCTGGAATCCCCATAATTGCCTCCACAGAAATTGAGATTAGCGCATCGACAACCTTCCAGTTCACCAAGGGGACAACTTATACTGAGTCAAAAGAGCACCAAGTTGCTGTTGAGTGCAAAGTCCCACCAAACCACTCCTGCAGTGTCAGTCTGGTGGGGTATAAGTACGAGGCAGACATCCCTTACACTGCACGCCTCCACCGCAAGTACAGCAACGGGGACACCACATGGACGTCCATCTCTGGGACCTACAAACGCGTCCAAGTTATGGAAGTCCAGTCTGAGGTGGATCGCTGTGAACCTCTGCCTGACGCTAAGCCCTGTGCCTGAAAGAATGATGGAAGAGGCTCCATGAGATAAATTACCTGACATTATGTATGTTTAGTTGGGTACTTGTAATGTTATTAGACTATTATTATTATGGAAGTATATGAAGGTTATTCCTCATAATTGGTTGCAGCAATTTCCATAATGACAATCTAAAAATAAATGTACTTTTGTTTTATGTCTAAATATATGTTATAAGACAATAACACTACTTAATTTACCTTTTTCTGTTTTTCTTTTTCAGCATATTCTTTTCCAACAAAAAATCAAATGTTTGAAAAATTTGCATTTCTTATTTTTAAAAAAAGTAAATATTTTATTTTAATTCAACACTATTTCTATTTTAAAATAAAAGTAATTTAGCGTCTCTCTATAGACATTTGTTAACACCAGGCTTTTATTCTGAAATATTTGCAGGACAGTATTGTTGGGTTGTACAGCTTCATGAATAAAGTACCGGCTTTTAATTTTAAATTTGTATTATTATTTACATATAAGCACACTCTTCTTCACCTGTTTCTGTCTAAAATAAATATAAATAACATTTATAACGAATTGAAACATTCTGACTATTACGAAAGGCAAACTCTATATCGACAGAAGGGCTGGCAGCAGCAAAGCTGTCTGTGTGGACACTACTCGCGTGAGAAACCCAGCAGTTCAGTTCAGCAGCTCACACAGTCAGTGTGGACCGGGCTTAATCTAATCTAATCCAACATCAGCACACATGAACGGAGGAAACAGAACAAGATTAAAGATAAAGTAAAAATGCCCCTCATTTAGCTTCCCCCGCCCCACCTCATCTCTCAAGAAGACTTGAAACTAAAGATTGAGACCATGAACTCATGTTTACAATGTTTACTGAGGTAATAAATCAAGAGAGAAGTAGAGTCACTTTCTCATAGACTTCTATACAACCAGAGGAGTCGCCCCCTGGTGGTCACTAGTGAGAATGCAGCTTTAACACATGAAGCTTTGGCTTCAGAACCGGAGGTTGCCTCCTGGCCTCATGTCTTTGTTCTCTAGCATCTGTTTCACCTGTACATAGTTATTTTAGGCCCAACTATGATGTTTTACATAAACCTAACTATGTGGTTTTGTTGCCTAAACCCTAACTTCTGTTTTGTTAAGTTATGACATCCTGGAAGAAATTAGTTCAGAGTGAAAAACACACACAATACTTGTCCCTGTACACAAAAGAAGAGATTCCGTTTTGGACTATTTCATTGGACTTTTTGTTGGCCTCACTCATCAGTAGTTATAACAGATTTTCTCTCAAAAACTTTACAAAAAGTTTAACATTTATCTTAACACATGAAATGATTTATATGTAATAAACTGTCTAACCATACTGCCGTGTCTGCACTGACGATTCTAACGAGCTAATTAGCTGTTGGACTGAGAGAGCTACCGAGTATGTGGGAGGGAAGAGAGTATTCATATCTGAATTGATGCTTTCATGAAGGCCACAGTGAGCGACAGCTTTATCCATTTTTCACAAGAGCAACACACCGTTATGACCGAGGCAAGTTAGTGGTACAGTCAAGAACGTCAATCTACTTTCACACACATTTTAGAAAGTGAATTTAACTGACTTGCCCTGCAGCTTTAAATTCAGTTCACTCAGGTGTGAAGTGGTGTC